AGTCACACCTGTCTCCAGTCACACCTGTCTCCAGTCACACCTGTTTCCAGTCACACCTGTCTCCAGTCACACCTGTCTCCAGTCACACCTGTCTCCATTCACATCTGTCTCCAGTCACGCCTGTCTCCATTCACACCTGTCTCCAGTCAATGACCTTCACTCGTCATCGTCCTTATTCAAACCTGTCCTCATCACTAATGTCCACTCATGTCTCTGTCCCGGTCCACAGACGTCTGTTCCGATTACCGGCCTTGTTTATTTAATTTGGATGTCCCGTCCTGTCAGCCTGTTAGCTGTTAGCTCTGTTAGCTGTTAGCTGTTAGCTCTTTTAGGTCTTTTAGTTCTGATATCTGTTAGCTCTTTTAGCTCTGATAGCTGTTAGCGCTTTTAGCTCGCTGTAAGCTAAAGTAAGTTTTTTGATCTTGTTGTTTATAAATTATTTTATTTAAGCTCCTGCTCTCCTCGCCTGCCTGCCAGTGGGTCTCAAAACTGAGGATTGTAACACAGAGGCCTGATGGAGGGTTTGTGGCTGCGGCTGTTTCTTCGGCTCGTCTGTTTTTAGACACTCCAACATGCTCATTGTCTCGGGCTTTTTCTGCTCCGTGGTTTCAAACTGGTCCAGATTTCACAGAACCCGGTCTTTAGGTCTGACAGGCCTGTGTTTATCTCCCACAGGAGGACCGCTGGTTGACAAGAAATTACTTTGGTTTCTTTTTTTGGTATTTACTTCAGCTACTTTCAGCTGTTTTAGCTGTACATGTATAAAAAGCTATGGCTCCTTGATGTGACCTTTAGTTTATGAAACTTTGATATTTTTGTAAAATTCAACATTATCATTTCCAATAAAACAAGTTTAGCTTTAGCTACTTCAGATTTAAGTTTATGTTCGGCTGATTTTAGCTTTTAGCTCCTGCAGGTGTTTCAGGTCCAGGTGGATCCTGCAGGTCACACAGGTGTTTCAGGTCTACGTGGTCCAGGTGGAGTTCTGTTGGTCTTGTGGACGTCGTCGTAAAGTTTTCAGTGAAATTTCTGAACCAAACTCTGAACGGCGATGATGAAGCCTGGACCACCACCAAGGCGCTCAGGTGTTCTTTTAAAGTCCTTGTCATGTCCTTCAGCGACACCTTGATCCACCAGAACCCAGTTTTACATCCAGGACCTGGTTCTTGTTTTTAAAACTCAAAGCTGCTCAGAAACCAGCTGCTGTTCAGAAAACATCTGCTCCTCTTCCTCAGAGGAGGAAGGACAATCTGATTGTCTTCTCCTCACGTCTCCGCTTCATTATCATCTCTAAAAATAACACTGGTTACCATGGCAACGGAGTGAAGGGCTTCCTGGTTACCGTGGCAACGAGAGAAAAAAAGAGTCGTCATTGTTTTGACTTTGGGTCGAGATGGACGAGTTCAACAGCTGCGGGTCGTCTCCCGGTTCGGTTCTGGCTCGGTCCAGTCCAGGTAACACAGATGATGACGACCTCCTGATTGGATGTTTGTTCAACTTAGACAGAAGATCTTCTAAGATGAAGAGGGAGGAAGAACCAGAACCTAAACTTCAGCTTTCTGTTTATCTCAGAGATTAACACCCAATCGACCCTTTCAAAATAAAACTACATATTCAACACCCCCCGTTTTACGACACCTGCTCCATGATGACCACACCTGGTCTCAGGTCACATTCATGAACTCATTTCTTCTTTTTCACAACTTTTTTTCATTTGTTAGTTGTTGTTTTTTTAATTTATCTTCCAGTTCAGAAATTATTTATTTCAAATTAAAACGTTTTTTCACCACAAGATGGCAACAAATCATCTGAAATGATGGATAAAAAGAGACAAAGCCTTTAAATTCAAATAAGTTTTGGTTTATTTAAACCCCTCTAAGCAGACTCACAGCGCTGAACAGGTACGACAGGTGTGCACGTTAAGCTCAGTTACACAAAACATTTATAGACTTTATGAGGTTTAAGGGCCTTGAATAAAATGGTTTTAATTACAGAAAGTTTCCTCCAACATTTACAGCAAGAGAACCAGAAGGTCCGAGTGATCCAACCAGCCAATCAGAGCAGGAGCAGCTCCAACCAACCAATCAGAGCAGGAGCGGCTCCAACCAACCAATCAGAGCAGGAGCGGCTCCAACCAGCCAGTCAGAGCAGGAGCAGCTCCAACCAGCCAGTCAGAGC